GAGCAAGCAGAAGAGAGCCAGAGTAGATGAGAGGGATTCAAAACACTGTAATGGTGTACGAACTCTGGTGGGAACAACAAGAAAAGCAGTCAAAGAGCAGCGCTGTAGAAAGATAGTACAAGTACATGTATTCTAGCGAAGGTTGTAGCAGCAAGCAAACGCGAGGNACATTCTCGCGAAGGTTGTAGCAGCAAGCAAACGCGAGGAGTCCCGAAGTCAAGTACCCGCACAACTGATGCAGTAGCCGCTGTAGATCCAGCACTAGAGGATAGCACCCAAGTAAGGCAAGTAGCCGCCTGTTTAGCGCCGCAAGCCTTGCACGTAGCTACCGTAGCTGGGGACTTCAGGTCGAAACATAGGTCTAACCTAATGAGAACTGTGACCGTAATGAAGAATTTCATGCTTTTTACATGGCCGCACTCAAATCTCCCTTCTTCCCCTCGCTCCTCGACAAGCTTTTGCTTAGGCTTATACCTGATATGCGGATTTTTATTTTTTTTATGCGGATTTTTCTGGCTGAGCATGTGCTTACAGCAGCGAATTATGCACGCAGTTATGCTTGTTTTCCAGTTTTATGTGTGTACTTATGCACGCGCTTTCTGCCGACGGTGTTGCTTTTACATGACGTTGAGGGTCACTGCGCGAGGTACGCACGTGCCTCTGTCTTTCCCGACACATTGAAACACGTGGTCTTGCTGGTTGTCGATTCTGTGCTCTGTGTTATTCTGATTTCTTCACCGTGATCCGTGATCCGTGATACGTGATATCGCAGAAAAACAAACAGAAAAACAAGCGTACAGCGACACCACACGAACAGACAGCGCCAGACACCAGACCTAACGACCTAACCAGACACCGTGGTTACAGGTTACACCCAGCTCTTAGCACGCCCTATTCCTATTTTCCCCGGCCTCTGTTGTACTTAAGAAGAGCGGACGCTGCCACGCGGTCACTAAAGCTCTTCTCCTGCCTAGCATCCATACAAGCACGCAGGATGGAAAAGACACGTTCCATGAAGGCAGAGGACGGTTGGAGCAAAACGATGTCCTTCGCAACTCCATACCAGTGACAAAGGCTACTCTTGTGCCTGTTGTCATGCCAGAATGACCACAAGTCGTAGCCGGTATCAACTCCAGAGGCGGCGATATTGTAATCGTCCATCTGATCTTNGTGAGACGGACGTGTAGTTCAGTTTTGGGCACGCGTACGGTGCTGCAGGGATTATATATAGGTGTAGTAGTACCTCTTCGGGCTCTTGTACACCTTTTTCTTGCTACGTGTGCGTGTTCTTTAGATCCTCAGATGGCTCCAGCACTTTCGTGACCACGGGCCGAGAGTCTTTGCTAGATTTTGGCATTTAGCAACTGGCATACGGTTTAATGTGAAGTCAACAACAACAACTCGCTGGATAATATCCCGTATGTCCATCGGTATTGCGATCGACATCCAAGCGAGTACGTGTACCCGCCAGAATAAACAATTAATCGGTTGACGAACTAACAATCGACACGGCGTGTGACATACCATGCATTTAACAGACTTGCGGGAAAAATGGGAACGTANCCGAACCTAGGAAGCCACTGATGCAAAGAGCGGAGGACAGCAAAAGAGTTATTTCAAGCCCAGCCGAAGCCAGGATATCGTGGTATGCTGCATCTCCCAATTTGATGATCGTACACTCCCAAGATCCAACAGTCAACAGACTTGCGGGAAAAATGGGAACGTATGTATCCAAAAATGAGAATTGGCGTTTTTCTTCAGAACCATCGGGTGTATCACAGAACCAAAATTATCCTGCGAAACCCCTTCGCCCCAGCTGTGAGATGAGCTCATCAGAACTACCATGCTCTACATCACGCCTTCTCACGGGCGCAAAAAGCGATTCGTGCTGGTTTCGACCTGATTTCTCGCGATGCTGGCTACGTCGGCGATGCCGAGGACATACAGCTTGAGCAACAGCTCATTCGAAAGCTGCTGTAAAGACCTACATACAGCACTGTCAACTTTTATGGGGGGAGTTGCAAAGGCGTGGAATGCTTTCTAAAAACAAACGCCCATTCTCATTTTTGGGTACGTTCCCATTTTTCCCGCAAGTCTGTTATTTCACGGAAGTCATGAGAAGTCACAAAACGTTGAAAAACACGGAAATATTTCCAGTACCCCCGGAAGCAATCAATCTGCGCAGCGCCGATGGTTCACCCCTGAAAATTGCAGGGTACACTCGATTTGAACTGACACTAGGGTAATCACATTACCTTTTGAAGCTCTAGTGCTGCCGTCGTTGGGACCTGATAATATGCTACTCGACAATAGCATAATGGGCGCAGTTGGTGGTATTCTTGATTGGCAAGCGGAAGAATTGTCGTTTAAAACAACCAAAATTCCAGCAGTCCACCGCAAAACATGCTATCCCACGACCGACCAGAAAAACAGTATGACCTGTTCTGTGGTAGCAGTAGAGAGGGACACACCTGCAGTGCCTGTATACACTACACGGAAATGCAGCATACCTGCACAACATGAAATAGCTGTCGAAATTCATTCGCTTCAAGCGCCAGATGAAACCACAGCTGCCGTAGTTGAACCACGCATCGTAACGTCCGATGACGTTGGGAAGCAGGATACACCAGATGCATTCCGTAGGGTGATAGTAGCACGCACAGTCTGTCACTGGTATAAGCACAACAAAAGTGCAACGGTACAACTAGCCAACCCTTCTCACAGACCAGTATCCCTGAAGAGAAATACACTTATCGGCTATATTTCTCCAGTGAAAACAGTACTGCCACCAATAATGAGCAGCGTTCAAACGATTCCTCCTGAAGAATCGGAAAAAACCCGTACAGATCTCAAGAAGGCATTAGCCAAAGCTCGCAGAGATACAACTTTTTTGCCCGACCAGTCAGTGTGAAGAAATACTTAAACGGTGTACCAAATACCGTTCAGTATTCTCCCTGGGTCCTAAAGAACTGGGCAAATGTACTCTCACAGAGGCTGATTTTCCATTGCAACCAGGAACAAAACCAGTCAACAGAGCTCCATATCGTGCAAATCCACGAATGCAAGAGGTAATTGACAAATGTGTTGATCAAATGGAAGAAGCTGGGACAATCGAGCAAAGAGCGAGCCCACGGGGGTCAGCAGTACCGTTGGTAGCAAAAGCTGACGGCAGCGCCCGATTCTGTGTAGATTACAGAGCGACGATCAACGAGAATTTAGTTCGTAAATCGTGGCCAATGCTTGAGATGGCAAGTGATATGGACACAGTTAGTTGTTGTCTTCACATTAAAAACCGTTCCGATCTCTCTCTACCCAGTACCTTCGTATGTCCGTACTGACACAGTAGCAGGTGCTAAATACATCACAGTCTGCGATGTACAAAGTGCATACCACCAAATACCAATTGCCGAAGCAGAACAAGACAAGACTGCATTCGTTACTCGGGACGGAAAATGGGCTTTTAAACGACTCCCCTTTGGCATCGCCAATGCGCCTTTTCTGTTTCAACGTACGATGGCATTGACTTTCGCACATTTTGGTCCAAAATCTAGTCTTCTCGTGTAGATGGATGATCTTATTTATTTGTTGTTCATCTACATGGGAGGGTCATATCTCTCTTTTGGAAAATACCTTTCAAGCGCTACAAGCCGCAGGTCTTACATTAAAACAATCAACAGTGCAATTTGGGCCAAATGGGGCATATTCTTTCCGCAGATGGCATACGTTTAGGTGAAGATCGGATAAAATCGATACTAGAGTTGCCAACGCCAACAAACATCAAAAGTTTGCGATCAGTCCTAGAAACGGTCAATTATGTCAGGAAATTCATCCCAGACTTAGCCGCCGTCACCGCACCAATGGTCGACCTTACGAAGAAAGACGCAGTGAAGTCGGTAGCGAAACGCTAGGGTCCGAAACATGATGAAGCATTTGCAGAAGTGGAACGATTACTCACCAACGCTCCTGTTTTACATTTTCCGGACTTTCTATAAAGTTTGTTATCCACGTAGACGCATCTGAAGTGGGAGCAGGAGCATTCCTGGTACAACAGAATGGCGATGACGTGAATATCGTAGCATACTTTAGCCAGCGATTCAACAAAAGCCAACAACACTACTCTGCCACCATGAAAGAATGCTATGCTGTTGTTCTAGCAATTCAACACTGGCGTCCTTCTTTATGGGGTAGACATTTTACGTGCGTAGCTGATCATGCGGCATTGCGATATCTTTATACGATGCAAGACACGTCAAATATGCTCACTAGATGGGCAATGGCACTGCCATCCTTCGATTTCACGGTAAAACATAAACAACCGGGAAAGTTGCATGTAGTGCCGGATGCGTTATCGCGACTTTTCGTGTTCGATAATGAACAAGAACGAACTGCGCCAAACCTTGCACCGATTTGCCGAAATGTACCGGACGATTCAAAGCTGCAACAACACATGCCAAACATACCATACCAAGTCTCGACTGACAAATTGGATGATGTGCAACCAGTCCTTAGTGATATGGAATTATTCACAGTCAATTCAAGTTTCGTCAGCGCCACGGAAGTATTTGAATGTGTTAAGCGTGAGAAATTGCGCGAGAAACAAGCCGAAGAATACGGCGAATATGTTCAATACATTTAAGACGCCAAAGCACCGCTGCCAGACAACGAAACGGCAACATCAATATCGTACTATGTCATACAAGACGACACCTACGAAAACGAAGCACTTTTAGTAATCAACTTGAAGTCCCACATAACCTCGCCGGTTTAGTGATGCACGCATACCATGATCACGCTCTTTCAGGTGGACACCTCGCATTTCGTCCAACGTACGAAAAAATACGACAAAAATATTGGTGGCAGTCAATGAACCGTGACATCCGGACTTGGTGCCTAGAATGCCAGGCCTGTCAACGGAGAAAGACACCTCACCGCCGTCCGAAACTGCCGACGGGTCACGTACCTGTACAGCGGCCGTTTGAAAAAGTATCAGTCGACCTAGTCGAGTACAAATCACTCTCAATGTCAGCAGTCGGAGTGAGATGCAAATACGTGCTTTCCATGATGGACCACCTGACGCGTTATGCAATTCTCGCACCAGTTCCAAACGAAACTGCTGAAACGGAAGCACGCGTAATCATTGATCGGATTATCAGTATCTTTGGCCCGCCTGAAATGCTGCACCCTGATCAAGGCACTGAATTCGAAAACAAGATAATCTATCAGTTGCAAAAAATCTTGGGCTACAAGAAAACACGCACGACGCCGTATCGTCCGCGAGGCACCTCGGTCTCTGAGCGTGTGCATTCAACGATGCATTCCATGCTCGCAATGTATAGCTCCATGAATCGTGACAACTGAGCGGATCTCCTGCCAATGGTTCAACTAGCGTATAATACGTCGTTTAATAACACCATGCATGAGACACCGTACTTCTTGATGTTTGGTCGCCAAGCACGGTTACCGGTAGATGTGATTCTCGGATCCCACATGTAGGATCAACTGCAGATACCGATAGTTTTGCTAAAACAACACGAGAAAATCTGCAAATTGCTTTCGAACTAGCGCGAAGAAACCTCACGGAACGTGCAGAAAAGCAAGCTGCGAAAAACGAAAAGTGACCGCAGTACCCCGTCTATAAACCTGGTCAACAAGTACTCGCATACCGACCACACCAGGATATAGATGGACCAAATCCGAAGCTGTTCTTACCGTGGCGGGGACCATATACCATCTGCTCACAACTGTCGCCAGTTGTGTATAGGGTGAAGCGAGTCGATGAAACACGAGAAATATCCGTGTATCTTGCCCATCTAAAACAGTACCATGAAAGGGAAAAACCACCCGCACCACAGTTTGGAAAACTGGCGGAATATTTTCTTGGGAAACAAATTCCCTTAGCTGCCCTGACAGGAAACGACGAAAATCAACCGAAAATTGAAAGATACGTCGTATTGAGAGTGGTAGGGCATCGAAGCGGTCAAGGCCGAAAAGGTCCGCACAATTATCGATATCGTCTAAGACTGAAAGGATGCGGTCCTGAATCAGATCTGATGTATCGTGCCGACGAAGTGCTGCAATGCCACGAAATGATGTCCGCGTACAGATCAAAACATGATCTGGACATCGCGCCCGCCAGGAAATCGTCCGAAGTACCGCAGAAACAAGCGAAACGAAAACGCGACGAAGGTAGGGATCCGAGTACAAACAAACGCGCAAAGCACAAAGCAAGGCCAGACACGTTGTGCCCCAAGCCAGCAAAATGCGTGAATAAGAAAAGTACTCAGCGGAAAAGTAAACGAAGTCCGAAGGCAAACAACGATACATTTTCAAAGTATCTAAACGGTCAAAGGAATAGCATCAAAATAATATGGTTGCTATCCAACATTTGGTTGGGTCAAATGCTGGCGAGGAAATGTCCAGTTAACCGGTCTCAAGTGCAATTGAGGGTCGCAACTCGATGACACTAATCATGAGTCAGGGAAACAATCTTAAGCCTGTCGAACACCGTATGCCTATCGTACTCAATAAGTAACACGATTGCTTACACCCAGCGGTATGGTTACGCGAACCAGAACCTGCACAAGGTACAAATTCTTGATACTTAACAAGAATAAGCTTTGACACATCATTGATTGACATCAATACATGGTAGCTTGTACGAGCCTTGGAGAGATTAAATCCGTACGGTGTTGTTTTCAACACGTGTGTATTCCACACGGCACTGTCAGCTGCCTTCGGATAGTGAGGGAGATATTTAATTTTCGAAGAGCTGTATCTGGATCCAATGATACATCCATACCTGCTCCACAACAAGAAACATGCAAACGTGCATGTGCGCCACAGCCCAACCTCAACAAGCTAAGCTTTCGGCGAAGAAAAAGGGGGGCTATGTGGAGGTCAGTGTATGGAGATTCAGGGAGCACAGATACACGTACATAAAGAGTAGGATCTGAGGGAATATGTGATAATAGATCACTGTTCTCCGAGGGTCCCCAACTCTAATGACCCCCAACGGCTGCGAAGAGTTGATGGATCTGTAGGAGAATGGGAAAAGAAGTCCACGAAGGCTCGCCCACTCTCCGCACCACCCTAGCTTGACTGAGTTCGCTCGGACACGCTTGGCATTCCTCGCCACATTGCACCAAAGGAAATAGCCAACCTCCGGTGGCAGGACATAGCCACCACAACCCCAGACTCTTCGCTCACCCAGAGTACAGGGCATCCATGTGTTGACCAACAACAAATTGTCGCTCGAACGGTGCCCTGCTGCTGAGCTCGGGGCTGGCTTCGACCATTGCCGCCAACTCAATAGGTAGTCGGATCCGGGGTGGACAACAAATCAAATGCAATGTCAAACAACAATAAATTGTCACTCAAACGGTGCCCTGCTGCTGAGGTCCGGGCGGGCTTCGGCCGTTGCCGCCATCTCAGCAGGTTGTCGGATCCGGGGTGGACAACGAATAAAAAACAATGTAAAATTGTCGCTCGAACGGTGCCCTGCTGCCGAGCTCGGGGCTGGCTTCGACCATTGCCGCAACTTCAGTTGGTAGTCGGATCCGGGGTGGACAACGAATAAAAAACAATGTAAAATTGTCGCTCGAACGGTGCCCTGCTGCCGAGCTCGGGGCTGGCTTCGACCATTGCCGCCACCTCAGTAGGTATTCGTTTCCGGGGTGAACAACGAATACAATGCAATCCTAAGCAACAATACTTTCGCTCGAACGGTGCCCTGCTGCTGAGCACGGGGCTGGCTTCGACCATTGCCGCAACTTCAGTAGGTAGTCGGATCCGGGGTGAGCGACGAATAAAAAGCAATGCTAAACAATGATACTTTCGCTCGAACGGTGCCCTGCTGCTGAGCTCGGGGCTGGCTTCGACCATTGCCGCAACTTCAGTAGGTAGTCGGATCCGGGGTGAGCGACGAATAAAAAGCAATGCTAAACAATGATACTTTCGCTCGAACGGTGCCCTGCTGCTGAGCTCAGGGCTGGCTTCGGCCGTTGCCGCCACCTCAGCAGGTAGTCGGATCCGGGGTGGACAATGTATAAAAAGCAATGTAAAATTGTCGCTCGAACGATGCCCTGCTGCTGAGCTCGGAGCTGGCTTCGACCATCGCCGCCAACTCAGTAGGTAGTCGGATCCGGGGTGGACAACGAATACAATGCAATGTTAAACAACAGTAAATTGTCGCTCGAACGGTGCCCTGCTGCCGAGCTCGGGGCTGGCTTCGGCCGTTGCCGCCACCTCAGGAGGTAGTCGTTTCCGGGGTGGACAACGAATACAATGCAATGTTAAACAACAGTAAATTGTCGCTCGAACGGTGCCCTGCTGCCGAGCTCGGGGCTGGCTTCGACCATTGCCGCCAACTCAGCAGGTAGTCGAATCCGGGGTGGACAATGTATATAAAGCAATGATAAACACCGATAAATTGTCGCTCGAACGGTGCCCTGCTGCTGAGCTCGGGGCTGGCTTCGACCATTGCCGCCAACTCAGCAGGTAGTCGAATCCGGGGTGGACAATGTATATAAAGCAATGATAAACACCGATAAATTGTCGCTCGAACGGTGCCCTGCTGCTGAGCTCGGGGCTGGCTTCGGCCGTTGCCGCCTCCTCAGTAGGTAGTCGTTTCCGGGGTGGACAACGAATAAAATGCAATGCTAAACAACAATACTTTCGCTCGAACGGTGCCCTGCTGCTGAGGTCGGGGCGGGCTTCGGCCGTTTCCGCCACCTCAACAGGTAGTCGGATCCGGGGTGGACACTGCATAAAAAGCAATGTAAAATTGTCGCTCAAACGGTGCCCTGCTGCTGAACTCGGGGCTGGCTTCGACCATTGCCGCCACCTCAGTAAGTAGTCGGATCCGGGGTGGACAACGAATACAATGCAATGTTAAACAACAATATATTGTCGTTCGAACGGTGCCCTGCTGCTGAGCTCGGGGCTATCTTCGGCCGTTGCCGCCAAGTCGGTAGGTAGTCGGATCCGAGGTGGACAACGAATACAATGCAATGCTAAACAATAATCAATTATCGCTCGAACGGTGCCCTGTTGCTGAGCTCGGGGCTGGCTTCGGCCGTTGCCGCAACCTCAGCAGGTAGTCGGATCCGGAGTGCAACGTCGAACAACAATGAACGGTGCCCTGTTGCTGAGCTTGGGGCTGGCCCCGGCCATCGCTGCCAAACGAGCAGGTAGTCGGATCCGGGGTGTCGTCACAATAATAGATAATGACGTCAAACGACAACAAACTGTCGTTCGAACGGTGCCCTGCTGCTGAGTTGGAGCTGGCTTCGGCCACTGCTGCCAAGTGCCATCGCCGCCTACGAGTCGAATGTGCAGTCACAGTAATTGCTGACAATTGCAAAGGACAACAAACTGTCGCTCGAACGGTGCCCTGTTGCTGAGTTGGGGCTCGCTTCGGCCACTGCTGCCAACTCAGGAGGTAGTCGGATCCGGAGTGCAAATAATAGTCCATCGAACGGTGCCCTGTTCTGAGTTCATGGCTGGTTTCGGCTCTCGCGGCCATCTCAGTATAGGCAGTCGGATCCGGAGTGGACGTTGCTCGAACGGCGCCCTGTTACGGAGCCGGTGGTTGGCCCGGCCATCGCCGCCTACTCAGTAGGTAGTCGGATCCGGAGTGCACTCACACTGAATGTGGAGCAATGTCAAACAACAGTAAAAATGTCGCTCGAACGGTGCCCTTGTTGCTGAGCCGGGAGCTGGCTTCGGTCATAGCCGCCAACTCCGTAAGTAGTCGGATCCGGAGTGCAATCACCCCAAATATATACTAAACATATCACACAACAATGAATCAAAACATATTGGTCGCTCGAACGGTGCCTTGTTACTGAGCCGGTGGCTGGCACCGGTCATCGCCGCCAACTCAGTAGGTTAGTCGGTTCCGGAGTACATAAATGAAACAAGAACGATATGTGTCTCGAACGGTGCCCTGTCGCTGCGTTTGTGGCTGGTCTTGGCCACCGGGTGCGATCACAATTTAGATATACAACAGTAACTTGCCGCTCGAACGGTTCCCTGTTGCTGAGCCGGCGGCTGGCCCCGGCCATCGCCGCCACCTCAGTAGGTAGTCGGATCTGGAGTGCCATCACGATAAATAGAGAACAGTAACAAAGAACAATATCTTGTCGCTCGAACGGTGCCCTGGTAGTGAGCCGGTGGATGGCTCTGTCCATCGCCGCCAACTGTAGGCTAGTCGGATCCGGAGTGCAACAACAATAACATAGTGTCAAACAATTGTCAACTGTGGCTCGGACAGTGCCCTGTCGACCGCTGGCCCGTGCACCGCTGCACAGCTAGCAGGTAGTCGGATCCGGAGCGCAACGAATGTCGCTCGAACGGTGCCCTGCCACTGAGCCGGGGGCTGGTTTCGGTCATCGCCGAAAACTCAGAAGGTAGTCGGATCCGGAGTGCAACGAAATGAATATATATCTGAGAAGACAAAAGAGCAAGAACCGTCGCTGGAACGGTGCCCTGTTACTGAGCTCGGGGGCTGGCTTCGGCCACCACCGCCTCCTCAGTAGGTAGTCGGATCTTGAGTGCCAATGCAAGTTGCTCGACTGCCGGTCGTCGATAAACCTGACGCCATGCCTGCTGGAAACTCAGTAGGTAGTAGGGTCCGGAGTGCAATGATAGTCGCTCGAACGGTGGTGCTCTGCTACTGAGCTTGTGGCGGGCTTCGGCTGCCGCCGCCAAATCAGTAGGTCGTCGGTCAGTGTCACAGCCGCTCGAACTGTGTCCTGTCACTGAGCTCGGGGTTGGCTTCGGCCGCCACCGCCAAACCAGTAGATAAAATATCTATACAGGATATATATCGAAAATTCAAACGCTCGAACGGTGCCCGGTCGCTGAGTTTGGGGATTGGCCCTCGCCGCTGCTGCACAGTCAGCGGTAGTCGCAAAGTCCGCCAGTAGTCGAATCCGGAGTGTCAAAAAAAAAACTCATGTCGGTTCTCACGAAAGCTGACGCCGCCGTTGACATATGAAAACAAGCATACCAATGTATATACCCGGAAACTCGCTCGAACAGCAGTGCCCCGTTGCCGATTGCTACGCTCATGCAAGACGGTTGCGTCCGTATCGGTGACAGCAGCCAACGTACGTCACAATAACGCTGCTCTTTCGTTCCGACGCGTGGTAGATACGGAGGCAGTTGCTGCAATCACACGGGGGAAAAACGGAGATTGCTTTCGTATTGTCTAGTGAAAATAAACGAAACGTGCTAAGAAACGTGCGACTCCGCACGAAAGAAAAAATCGAACTAGTTCCATGCTCACCCGGCGATCATGAACCTGTGCACAGGGTTCCGGCCGTCAATATCCTAAAAAATCTGCTGTTTATCAGGTGGGAGGAAACCAGGGAAGGTCTGTTTTACCTTGCCCACAAGAAACGCTGTGTGGAGGGGAAAGGGAACCCGCCCCTCTGCAAGACTCTGATACAGTGGGGGGGCAAAAGAACTGGGTCGCGCCTCATGCATCGGCCCGTTGCTGGTATTTCCGCACCGTGGTGTCCAAGACATTTTCTCGCCACACCAGTCTAACTTGGCGCCGACCACGGCGTTAGTTTCTCGAATGTCGAGTGCACATTATCAGGGCCTAGGTTTTGGGGAACCAAAGCATCAACTGGTGGAGCAGTATCTCCCGGTGTCATGTTTCCGAGCGACTGCATTCAACGATGCAACAGCTCCACCACGCACGTTTTGTTGTTAATGGTGTGTGTGTGCACATGCACGTTCGTTTGTGCGAAAGAAACTTTAATTTGTCAGGTATCGATGATCGCGAACATGAGTTTTCTAGTGTGGTGGCATTGGCCACCTAAATCGCTTCGGTCGCATGGTTGGAATCGATCTACTGTAGGTGAAATGTACCCGGGAATGTTCTCATAAAATTTGGTCATGTCTCGAACGCTGCATAGCGGCGAGAGCGCAAAGCCAAGTTCGAACCACATGCCCTCTGCCCTCCCCCAATACGGTTAGGATGGTAGGAGTACCTGTGTTTCTCACCACGGTTGGCGTAGTATGCAGCAACACCGGGAATTCTCCTTGTTTGGACGTTCGAAAACTTACGCCATTCATGACGCGTCTTCCAAATGGACCCATGACGCGGGCGGGGACAATTATGGTAACAATACCTCGGGTCGGCATTGTCATGTGCTTGTCGGTCAGCTTGCTCGTGAATATCGGATGCGCGCCAAATAGTTGACGCTCGACGATATCTGCAGAGGCAACCACGGTGAAGCCACTTTATTCCTATGATGAGCCACATGCTGTACGGTCCCATTGTTTTTTCTACCATGGACCGCGCCGTTAGCCGAACCGCAAGAAGGAATTCGACGTGGCGCCGCGTAACCCCCCCCCCCCCCCCCCC